TGTCGTCAGAAACTGAGGAAACCGTGGCTTCGAAACGCGTGAAACTGATAGCGTTTGAAGTGAGTGATCTTGTGACGGAGCACAGGGGTTCGTTACAAAAGTCTGAATTGTTTATGTACTGTGACTCATATCAGTAGGTCTGTAACATGTGTGTCAGTAGGTCTATAGATTATGTGTATTTTAGACATTTGTAGCGAACCCCTGTTAATCAGTGCGGTGTAACAGATGATATTTCTGATAAATTGCATGAGCGTTAAAATTGTTTCCATTGCCGGCATTGGTGAATTCAACCGATGTGCATTTTGTACGATATTGCAGACCTTTGTCTTGTTTTTGTTGTAATAAAAGGATTTTTTATTTTATTTTGCACATAAATTTACAATGACATTGTCAAGTCTCAAAATGCCCAGAGATATTTCAGCAGCCGTCATGTTTATTTACATTGGCTATTGTAGTTCCGGTCAGTGTTGTATTAATACGCTAAGAATTGTGTCTCGTGCTGCATGGTAATTAAAGTCCCATCAACGACACATCTTTCAAAGAGGCTATATAGTGACAATGGCATGCAAATGTAAATATAGTGTAATAATAATTAGAACAAAAATAAATAAACACTATAGCAGTCGAACGTTGGACATCTTCTTCCTTCTTCTTCTTCTTCTTCTTCTTCTTCTTTCTTCTTCTTCTTCCTTGTATACTGCAAAGTTTTGGAATGTGCACTACACGTGAGGACAGGTTAAAAAGTTAAAAAAATAAAATAAAATATATAGATAAAAGTTCCTTGATTTTTTTAAAGACGTGAAACTCGGCCTTTAAATCCACTGAGTGTCTCCTCTTCCACTATATCAGGAGGCAAGGCATTCCAATCGCGCACGGTGTTTGGGAAGAAAGATGCCTTCCTTGTGTCAATGCGACTGGCGATCAGTTGGAACGATCGGCTGTGTGTTGTTTGACCTATCCTCCTTGGTGGTAATAACATATCTTTCTTGATGGCTACCAGTTCTCGGTCAATCTTGTACATCATTACCAGCCTGGCTTCCTTCCTTCTCTGTTGTAATGATTTCCAACCTAGCTTTTGGATCATGTCTGTTACATTTGAGGTGTTTCGCCTTCGGTTTGTGACGTATCTCGCGGCTTGACGTTGTACCATTTCGAGTTTGTTCATTTGCACGGTGGATGCAGGATCCCATACAGTGCTTGCATACTCTAACAACGGTCTTACAAGGGAGAAGTACGTCATTTCCTTGATGTTGGTTGCTAATATTCTTATATTTCTTCGTAGGAGGCCCAGTGCCCTGTTGCCTTTCTCCACAATGTTGTTTATATGGACTTTCCATTTCAGGGTGTTGGATATAGTCACTCCAAGGTACTTGGCATCTTATAACTCTTCAAGCTGATGTCCGTGAAGGGTGTATGATGTCTTGATAGGCTGCCTCTTGTTGGTGACTCTAAGGACGTTGCATTTGTCCGGATGAAACTACAAGCTCCAGTTTCTTTCCCAGATGGCAAGTTTGTTCAAGTTGGAGGGTCTTTGCACTATCGACTGATGTGATGGTAAGATAAACAATGGTGTCGTCTGCAAAAAACGAATGGTTGAGTGTAGGTTTCTTTGGAGGTCGTTGATGTAATATAGGAATAAACTTGGCCCGAGTACTGAGCCCTGTGGCACTCCAGATTCAACACTGCCTTTACTCGATGACTCCTCTTCTACAACTACTTCTCGGGCTCTATCACTGAGCCAGTTCTTAATCCATGTGTTGACTTTTCCTCTAATACCGTAGTTGTAAAGTTTGTGGGTCAGCAGGCTGTGGTTGACCTTATCAAACGCCTTGGCAAAGTCCATTATTAATATGTCTGTTTGCTGGCCGTCTTAAAGGTTGGAGGTCAGGTCTTCCACAAGTTCTATAAACTGGGTTTCACAGGATCTACCCTTTCGAAAACCGTGTTGAAGGTCGTAGAAGATGTTGTTTTGTTCTCCATAGGTCATGATGCTGGTGGTGACGATGTGCTCCATTATCTTACTGCACACATAGGTAAGTGAGATCGGACGATAGTTTGCAGCTACACATTTCTGGCCTTTCCTGTAGGTTGGGGTGATGTAAGCTGTTTTCCAATCATCTGGTACTACTCCTGTGGCAAGTGATTTCTTGAGGATAAGATGGAGCAGGGGGCCAATGGCCCCATGGAGTTCCTACAGTAATCTGGGTGATATTATGTATGTCCAGGTTACTTAGTAGCTTGTCGATGCCATTGACAGTGATGTTGATGTTTTCCAGAACTGGACCAGGGGGAATGGAGCCCATGTTATCAGATGCATCAAACTCTTCCTTGGAGATGGTGCCCTTTTTTGAGTAGAGTTTTCCCTCGTGCTTTAGCGATGATATTCCTACTTTTGCCTTTTTTATGTTTGATGTAAGTCCATAAACTTTTCGATCCGGATCTAAACCTGTCATCGTATTTTGGTGTTACAATTTGTTCTATATAAGACCAGTACGTTTGTCTTTGTTTTCTTTGGGTCTCTCTCTTTAAAGCCTTGTACTCGTCCATGATTCTTTGGTCTCCAGCCTTTTTCATTTTCTTGTAAAGGCGAGTCTGGCGTCGAAATAACTGCCGTAGCTCTTTTCCTATCCAAGGGTGTCCGTTCTTCATTTTGGTGGTCTTAGGTGGAACATGTTCCTTGATACCTTTCTGTATTTCGGCATTAAAGCAAGTCGACATGTCATTTGCTGTGTATTTGATGGATTTACACATTTCCTCCAAGGTGGCGGCAAATTTGACGAGGGCTTCCTTAAATGCGTTCCAATTGGCTTAGTTGTACATTGGGATTTTCCTACGTTTCTGCGTTAGTATCGTTGGTCGAACATCAAAGTCCACAAACACAATATCATGATCGGACAGTTCATGTAGGATATCCGTCCTTTGTATCAGGCTAGGGGCGTTGGTAATAATGAGGTCCAGGTGTCGTTTTTCAGGGTTTCCTCTCGTATGACTTGACTGAGGTGGTTTTTGATTATGATATCCTTGAACTTTAGGTGAAGGTTTACGTAGGGATTGTTTGGTTTTATTACCCCTTTTTTCCAATCCCATCCCGGAAAGTTCGGTCTCCTCCGATTAAGATGGTGGCATTGTTCGTGCAAACCCTATTCACAGATTTTTCAAAATCATTTAGGCTGACTTCATCTCCAGCATTCCTTCGATAGTAGGAGCATATAAAGATGGTTCCATGGCCTACGAGATTCATTTTCACCGATATCAGCTCACAGTCGGTATCTAGCTCAGGGGCATGGTCACATTTGTAACGGTCATTTACTTGGATAAGGACGCCACCTCCACCAGTTGTTAACCTATTTTTTTCTGAAGATGTTGTATCCCTCCGGTGCTTTCTCGCTGTTCTGTATATTAGGATCAAGCCACGTTTCTGTCCCCCTGATGATATCCGGTTTTGCACTGTCGATGACATTCGAAAACCTGCACTGTTTTTGTTTGATTGACTGAAAGTTTATATTTAAAGTACGGAGTGGTGCTGATGTTTTTGATGTTTTTGGACGTCGAGTAGGAGTAGATGAATGAAGCGGCTTTATGTGATTACTGGATGGATTTGGACTGTTCATAGGAAATTCAGGTAAGCTGTCATTTACACTGCTGTAATGACGCACGCGTGACGCTCTTTTGACCTATCTTGTTCCAATCTCTCGCTCTTTCAATTTTGCTTTCATGGAACTATTAATGCACAATTGAAAATGAGAGACGAAAACCATGAAAAGGGGAAGTATCTCTAAGCTATTAAAACTCACATTTGATTAGTCTCGTTCAACCAGACTCTTGTTGTCTGCGCAAGCTACGCCAAACAGAGAGTCAGGTCAAACCCAGTGATATCGTTTTGTGAAGTCATAACGAGGCTTACCAGAATTCTGGTAAATTATTTCATTGGTCAAAGGTAGACACACCCTTTTCTACTTTTGAAGTCGGAATTGGAGTGGCGCAAAATTGCATTGAATATTTTAATTCATGAAAAAAACTTACCAGTACATGCATTCCTGAAGTATCCGTGTTTTCACTTTTATCGAGAAAAACTCTAAGAAAATGCTTCAAATCTTAAGAATTATCGATGGATATTTTACAATAGTTCATGAAGCTAACAAGGCTTTTGACACAAGTCAAGCCAGTTTACTTGAGTGAGAACCTGTCACATGTTTTGAATGGTGTACAGAAAAAATCTGACTTGTTTTGCATGCTTTTTTCCAACCTCAGTCAGACTTGTTGGCTTAGTACTCAGTTATGATTTATTCAGTGGAAATATATGGCATTATTCTGGAGATTCGAAACATTTTCTTACATTTTTCTCGATAATAGTGAATAAACGGATAATTCAGGAATGCATGCACAGGAAAAAAAATCATTCATTTCAATATTTTTTGAAATGTTTAAACGGCGTTGACATAACGTCATGAAATGAAAGTAAAACACTGCCCTCCGGTGATGGTATTTTTAAAGTACCGTGTTTGACCAGACTCTTGAATTACAAAATGGTCAAGCGTCTGGTGTGACGAGACTAATAAGTGCTATGCAGTGGATCTCTTCTGCCTAATTATAAAATAGGCTTTGGTACTTTGACCTTCAATGCAAAAATGTTTAGCCGTGTTGCTTGTCTCATGTACGATATGCAACTGCACTAAGATGTACTAGAGACATATAAAACGTACGTACTCAAATAATAGCACTAGTATTTTACTATGTTAGTTATATATTGTCCGATGTTATAAATCAGGTTAACACATGAAAACAATGTTACCTACTAGAATACATTCCAAACATCACTAAATCGAATTGTAATGCTAACAAAGCTTCATTGTTTTTACATCCACGTTATAGATATAAAGAAAAAACCACAAATTTCAAAACAAAACATTGATTTAAAAGTAAACTGACATGCTATAAATCAAATGACAAATTCAAATATAATGTGTTGCTATGTATTGACGCTGATGTATGACCGTCTATACGGACACACAATATGTTAATGGTATTGCTAGGACTACACGTCGTGAATCATTGCTGAGACATTACAGGCTCAAAAACAAACATACGTTTATATCAACCACGACTGGATTTCTACTCTCTGGAACTATCTCGACGATGCCAGGGTGGCAAGGACAGGTATGATGTTTTTTGCTCATAATGTATGTGTTGCTTAGAGTCGTTAACGATATTTCTTATTCGTACGGAGATATGCCAAATGGTCTTTTCTTATCACGTAAAGCTGGCATTATGAGACAGGCATGGGTGTTGTTTTGCCTTAACAGACAGTTTGGACATTGTTTTGTTATACAAGCTTGTATCCATTATAATGTACTACTGGTTCTGAACAAAAGCAAACGTTAGTAACAATAATTAAACATGCTTAACAAATAAGTGATCATACTTTCTGATTAAATGATTTATGACTTAATACTACATCAGTTATTTTGCAGAACTGATATATAATGAACCAGTAATTAATCATATTCTATGAACTGAGTTTGCAGAGTTATACATTTTCTTTTGATATTTAAAACGAGTCAGCTTTACTGCTTGTGTTTCAGTTATAAACACGCTTTGTTAAAAAGACTTTAAAATCAAGATACTCAAAAACACATCTTACTTTATCAGAGGTTTCCCATTCGTTATTACATAATCATAATTTATACCGGGTTTGTCTTCATTTGCAATTCAAACACATAATGAATGTCATGTTAGGGAGATTCATTATTTAATAACATATGTAAATGTTGTTTTAATTAGTGTCATTATAGCCATACGAGAGAGAATAAGAATGTGTTATATGTATAGTCAGTTTAACAGAACGTTATGCATATTTGTATATGCCAGGCTATATATTTGGTTGCATTCTCCAGGTATGACTGTTGTATGAAATATTTCTTTCGCTTAACTAATATATTTTCTTCATTGTGATAGTGCATGTTATATTATATATATACATGTATATCATATATAAAAAGGTAAGATGTTAAATAAGGGATGTAATGCCAGTTATTCCTGGTATCTATATTTTGATGATAATATAATATAAGTGATACAGGTATTGGGACCTAAGCTGATCAAAATTACCTATGTATTAAGAACAATTAAGGTAATTAAGGCATTTGAGAAGGGGTTTTTTTTTCGAAAAGAATTTTGATGACATTTGCATGGAATGTTTCTTTCACTGAATTCTTAACATTTTCTTCATTATGAGAGTGCATGTTATATCATATATAAATAGGTAAGATGTTTAACAAGGGATTTAATTCCAGTTATTTCTGGTATTGATATTTTGAATGAAATATTTTAAGTGATATATGTATTGGCACCTAAGTTTAGCAAAATTGTCTATGCATTAAGAACAATTAAGGTAAGCAGTACAGGTGTTTTTTCTTTAGTATTTAAAGATATTGAGATAATTGTTACATACAGAGTTAAAGAATCGGTGAATTACCAGAATAAAATTATTAATATACTAGCGCTAAATTGCAAAATGGATGGTTTAAATGATTTGTTCTTCCATTTTCTATTTTTTTTTTTTTTAAAGTTGAGCGCAGTATGTTAACCGAGGATTCACAATGGCAATGTACATTGTCATGTATATGGATGGGTAGTCAATCAATAATGTCATTTGTATTTAAGTTGAAAGTCTAATTTTAAAGACATCATACTATTGATATTTGTAATTTTAGAATAAATGGACTACCTTATTGTTTTACAAACAATCAATACACTTTCAACCTATCTGATTACGTACGAACCAAAGTGAAGGATTAATTGTAAAAAAGGACTTTGTTTACTTTAGTAGTCCACATCAATATCTAAAAATAGTTCTGTTTAGATTCAGAGGCTAATTACGAACTATAAACATCAAACAAGCCTACATATCTGTCAAACAATAGTAATAAATGCATATGAAATATGATTGATGTGTTTCAATATTATTTCAAATGAAAATCGACCAGAGCCGTGCTTAGTAAAGCATGTTCGTTTCCTTATCGATAAAATAGATATAATATAAATACATAAGTGCATAATTTACTTCCACGTTTATTTTCATGCATAAAGAAGCATCTTCAATTACATTACATATACGTGTGTGCAGTGTACCTTAAATTACATTACATAAACGTGTGTGCAGTGTACCTTAAATTACATAACATGTCACTACAGTTTATGTATTTTAATTGTTAGTGTTAGTTAAGTTTAATGTGTATAATTATATGTGTAAAATGGTTAGTGTATCTAAAACACTCATTACAAATGTGTTTAACGTACTTCTTTTTATCTAAAAAAAAAATATTTTTGGATGTTCCTTTCTTGGCTATAAAGCAAAGTTACATGTAATAAATAGTGGGCGGACGTGTTTACCACACACTTTTCTTTGTTGCTCAACTCACCTGCCTAAGTGAAGTCCTTGGTATCAGTTTGTCTGTTTTGGATATTGTTCGTAGTATATGTGACTTTCACAAAAGGAACAGTTTGAAATACGGACCCATAACACGCGGATCATTAATAGAACATCAGGCGCACATCGTAGAAAGACAAAGCAGCAGTATTGTGCAGTGTGATACATCTCCAGCAAACACGCAGGCATACACACATAGGGAGATATTAGCCAGGTGCCATAGGACTAGGTGTTAGCGCCTGAAAAGGCAGCATCTGCGAATTCCTCAAATTATATGGATTAATGCATATGCTAATTGTATATTATTTATTATATCATATTTTTGACACACTGTATATATTACTAAATTTTAAAAGTGCCTTCACATGTGTGTATCTTCTTTTTATTTTTAAAGGGAATTATTATGTCAGAGTCGTTTGAGTAAGGCTTTATCCATACCCTCTTAATTTATTAAATTAATATGCCATGATGAGGTGCACTTTTCTATATATTATTATTTCGTCCATGTATGTATCTTGCGCTCCTCATCGGTTCCTTTCATTTGTATCCCATCTTTGTTGTTACATATAAACAGAAGTAAATGTACTTCCGATCTATGTATTATCCAACATAACTAATAATTTGATAATACAAATTGTGAACTTGTAGTGTCACACCTTTGTATCTGTCATTTCTTTTTAATTTTCTCTTGTTTTTTGTGCAGTAGTAAATATGTTACCTGACTGACACAAATATATGTCTTTCGACCATTGAGATGAGATGGAGGCTGTAAAAAAATATGATAATAAATGAATTATGTGATAAACAATGTTATGATGATTCTGATGTTTACGAGGGCAAAATGATTAGAGTTTTAATTTCTCTAAAATATAAATGATTTAGAACATCATATGCTAATAGCATTAACATAATTTTTACCAATATAAAAACTTTATCGATAATGCAAAGCATATGAACAATGGCTCTGATAATAGATATAAAACCTTACCAATGTTGTCACATTAAACATTTGTAATAGGACGAGGAATAGTGATAAAGATAGTGCCGTCGCTGGGGCTCGAACCCTCGACCTTTAGCTCTCCAGCTAAAGGGAAATACCCTACAGATGACGCTTGCAAGGCAACCTAATCAATGTACTTCTTTTACACACTTTTTTTCTTACACCAACCCAGGCTCTTTGACTCCCCGTCAAGAGTTCTCCTACCTTGAACGGGGAGGGCCAACGGCACCAGTTTGTAATAGGACGAGGAATAGTGATAAAGATAGTGCCATCGCTGGGGTTCGAACCTTCTACCCTTGGCTCTGCAGCCCGATGCTCTACCGCTGAGCTAAAGGGAAATTCTGACGCGTGTAAGGCAACCTAATCAATGCTTTCCTTTTACACATTTACATCTTTTTGTGTTGCAGGACAACGTCCTAAACGTCCGAAATTTAGAAGGGAAATCGACCACGACACAATTGTATCTCCCTACAGATGAGATTGATCGAGCCAAATCGTATACCATTCAACAAGGGCAACCAGGTACATTTTCTAGTGTTATGTTATTTATTTCATTCCTAAAATCAAGGTGAAGTTAAAACCTTCGGTGTTTTTGAGTACAATGTATGGTATCTATGGAAAATGATTTTCTCTAAACGAAGTAAACTGTTTTGCCTTTTCGGCATTATCCTCAAACACTTAGATTCAGAAAAAGAGACCTTTTAAAATATCAAAGTTTAAATTTTAACCACAAATAGTGTACTATCAAACGCTTCAAGACCGATTGATCCCTTTATCAAGCTATTAGTAGATTGCATTGACAAAGGGACCAGTCGGTCTTGAAACGTTTGCGACACGTTTGATACGTACATCGTTTGTGTAACAAAGTTGTTGAAAAGATCATTAAGAATGCTCTCTATGAAAAATTTGTATATGCAATACATTAATAGTTCGATCAGGTTAAACAAGCAAATTAATTTATGTAATTGTTTTTCTATTTATTGTTTCTTTTCAGAACCAACAAAAACCTGTAAATGTGGAAAATGTGTTATTTTTATTATCTTTCTCCTTGTCATCGGAATAGCTGTTGGGATCTACTTTGCTGGTAAATAAATAGGAATTTTTACTTCAATCAAAAATGATATTGTTACTGAAATAAGTTGATTTTTTTTTATATATAATTTAATATTTTGTTAAAAGGCGTTTTATCACGTTACTACATTCTTTATGGCGTGACTGGTGTAAGGCGTGGTAGTGGGTTTTACTATTTCAATAATATGACCTTCACAATAGGGTAAACTATATTTGTATAGTTATTAATTATTCATAATTTATATAACGGTTGTCTCTCTATTTTTGTAGTGATGTCATCTGGAAAGGATGGACAGCAAACTGGTGAGATAAAAAATAGGTGTCATTGTTTCATATAAGTACTAAATAGGCATGATATTTCAGTGAGATAGCACTAAAAAGTCGCCATCAGATCCGCGCTATTACATGGAGGCAAATACACCACTATACCCTGCCTCGTGCACACACACACATATATACACACACGAAAGCACGCATACACAACACACAAGGAGGCACGTCCTTAAATCACCTTAGCTGTTGATAGGACGTTTAACAAAAACCAAAAAACAACCAAACTCATAGCCATTGTTAATTTTCACCACTCGTGAAAAAATAAATTTATAAGCAAAAATGGATAGGTAGGCATTTCATGTTACCCCACACACGAGCTACTTCCTTCACCTGATGTGTTTGACCAGGTTTTTGTAAATGTAATAGAGACATAACGTAACGATGTTATGTGCTTGCTTCTTTGATGGTGATGCCATGATACATGGCAATTGTACGTTTTCCTGATTGTTAACAGGAAGCATGCATTTCCAAATGAAATATGTATTGTTCAAGATACAATATGACCTTAAAAAATAAATAATTCATGTAACTATTACTGGAACTAAAAATCAATAAAACTAGGGCAAAAAAAATGTAAAAAAGGAAAAATAACGTGGAGATCCTTTACAAAGTATACAAAAGGACCAGATGTAACGGAAGGGTAAGCGTCTTCTGTGCCACCTAAATGTACCATAAGTGAAGATATGCTTGTATTTATATTCAAAGTGGTTTATTTAAAATTACTTTAAATCTGGCTATTTTACCTGGACCATGGCTGGTATTTAAATTTTGCATTATGTAACATATGTAAGTTTACGATGATTAAACTGAAAATTTATCGAAACAAAGTTTTGTTTACTCCATGTGTTTAACTAATCATCTACATTTTTTTCAGTGAACAAAAGCAACATTAACTTAAATCTATCAAATGATACACTTACGGACGACGATAAGTCATCTGACGACCTAAATATGAAATCTACAACAACGAAGGATGTCCCGTCTACTACCGAAGCTATACCTACGGGCTTTTTAGACGTTATTTCAACAGCTGACGATTCTGAATTATTACCAATCCCTACCATTACTGGTCAAGATATCATTCTGCGAAACGTCGGTAACATTGGCCAAAACAACACTGGTGCTCCACTTTTTTGTAAGTAAACCCCATTCAATAGTAGTTAAGCCTATTTTTGGATTTCCATCTTTTGACTCCAAGCATCATCAATGATTCCTAGAAGGACGAAACAGCTGTGTGGTGAAGTGTAATTCACTGTTACTAAAGTTTAAAAGTGCATTATGGTCTCCGTCGTTCCTCATCCGTACATAAATCTTTTCGTATCTACAACACAAATCCAACATCCCAGTTTGAGTATAAATTGGTCTGGGGTGGATGTTGCGGTATCTGTGCTGTAGCATTCAAGTGAGGTGGCACTATAAATGATACCGTTGGAAACACGGTTCCACTACAAACAGAACACATTACATCTGCAGCACACACACAGGCATACACACATAGGGAGATATTAGCCAGGTGGCATAGGACTAGTAGTTAGCGCCTGATAAGAAAGCTCCTGCGAATTCCTCAATTGTTTTGATCAATGTATATGATAATTGTATTCAATGTATACCAATGCATATACAGCAGTGTTTCGAATACATTTTCATACTATATACGTTACTAATTTTCAAAAGTGCAATAACCTCTGTGTGTGTAACGTTCATCCTTAAATACAATATACACAAACGGTTCTTTAGTGCGATGTACGAGCAACAAACTAACAAACTACGGAGGCTCTGAAGAGCTATCATTATGCAAATAGATGGTGATGATAAGAATTCCAAATAGTTAGACAAATCAAAAACACTTTTATGTAATGTTATGTAATTAACGAAAAATACTAAAGCACCTATACATCCTATACCTACTGAAATGGCGAACATTTTGATAGGGAAAGTAAACAAATCTAAATGCCTAGCAATGTCATGCTTATAAAAGCTTATTTAGAAAGCAATGTCCCAGGAGGCCAAGTGATTGGGAGTTTCCTATCTGCAGTCTCCCAGATGTGAGAACAAAAACAAATTTGGACTCCGTACAATTAGATACAAATCGCAACGTTCAAAATATCCCAGACTGAAGCACTAATACATCTGTACTTTAATACTAATATCTTCTTCACAGTAGCGCTCTTACCAGCATTATTATATACATATGGAGAAGTTGCATACCATGGGTCCAGTGTTTGGGTCAGCCCCACAAACATAGAATAAAAGTCTGTGTCAATTTTAAACTCTTGTTAACACTCTGGCCGCTTCATACCAAAATTACCATTGTTAGTAGGCATGGCGCATGAGTTTTCTTCCTTAAACTTAGCAGATCTTTGATATACTCCATAGAAAAAAGAAAAAAACTTATTTTCCCATGAGTTTATCATAAATAATTTATTATTTGTAAAATCTTTTTTTTTTTTGGTATAAAAAAATATATTGTGATATCGTATATTTCATGGGGTCCAACTTTCGTGGTTTTCTAAAATCATTGTGTTGGTTCTCTCATAAGGAGAACAACTTCATGTCATGTGTCATTATGAAACTATGAATTCAGAGATGAAGATTACCAAAGAAATCTACGTAGATAAAAAAAACCAACGAAAATTAGTGATTTCACAGTAACCGATTTTTCAGAAGACAAGATAAAAACATAAACAGGGCGTTAGAGAGGGAGTAAGGTACAGCATTTCACCTTTTAAGTGTTAAATAAAAATAAAATATTTATTTCTTTAATACGTAACATTTTTTATTGTGTCATGACAAAAAGAAAACACATACAAAAGGAATCGGCAATACATACGAATTCCTCAAAGTAAGCTCTTATAAACAGTATAGCATGCCCCTCTTTTCGTTTGCAATTTCAGTTACCGCCAATATATTTCACGTCCCATTTTTCTAGTTTTTCTTTAGAATTCTTTGATAGGTTTCCCTTGATTTATCGCCAAACCCCTCTTTAACGCCAAAATATGTCTGGACAAATGGTGACTGTATAACGATGTTTTACTGAATATCTTACCAAGTTGCATGTTGATATCATAATATAATGGCGTCTTTTATGACAAACTACACATTTATATTGATTAATTCATAGAATAGGGAAAATGACATTTACGATTTACAAAGCATGTGGTCCTGATATTTAGATATAGCCTTCTCATATAATGAATTTCAAATCAAAGTAACACAAATAGGAGTTGCTTCCCATCTACCAAATGTAAGACAACTTTTGCCAATGATGTGATTCGGTGCTTTTAGTATAAAATGTTTTATTTGGGTGCTCTTTTTAATTATTATAATATTAATCAATATATAGAAAAACATTGTTTGTAATTTGATTCAATGCTAAATGGGTTTATATATCTATAAACATCCGGATCCAAATAATTATGACATTCAATCATTTTTCTACAGATGAAAGTGATTTATGAGACTTGTTTATAAGATTTGTGTGGACTTAAAAAAGTCTACAACTAGAACACTGACAGGTCAGTAAGGGCCCCGTCTTGTGGCAATATATCCCCCATAATCATCAAGAAGCAATCTGCTCATATAGCTGAGCTTGACGTTTGATATTTGGACTTCAAAAAGAATCGCAAGGAATCAAAATATACATTTTACATGTACTATGATGCGAGTCTCGTTTCCTTCCACCTCCATATTTGCTGGGCTAACAGAAATGTAAATACCGGTGCAATACTTATTTGTTAGCTTTGAATTGTTTTATTTCACATTTCACCTTATCTACCTCCTCCATCAAGTGCCAGGGTCAAAGTCAGAGATCCACTTTGTCTTTGACCTTTGGACCCAAATGACCTTGACCATTAACCCAGCGACACTGATCTTTGGTCATTTGACTTATTCTTTAATTCCGACCAACTTTGCTTCTTAATATCATAACAAAATGTTCATCAGTGAAAAATACAAACTTGACCTTGACCCTTTGGACCTCGTAACCTGGACCTAAGGTCAGTTGACTCTGTGTTAGGTTCTGAACAACATTGCTTCATAATGTCATAACAAAATGTTCATCATGGAAAAGGTACAAAATTTAACCTTCATCTTTGACCAAGTGACCTTGACCTTTGGTCAATTGACTCCTTGTTAAATTATGAGCTACATTGCTTCAAAGTGTCATAGCGAAATGTTCACCAGTGAAAAGATACAAAATTAAACTGTGACCTTTGACCCAATGACCTTGACTTTTGGTCAGTTGACTCCTTGTTTAATTCTGATCAACTTTGCTTCATAATGTCATAACAAAATGTTCATCACTGAAAAGATGTAAAATTTGACCTTGACCTTTGGACCTAATGACCTTGACCTTTGACCTTGACTTTTAACCGCAATGTGTATTTTTGTGAGCTATACATCTTGACCAAGTTTCATGTACATCAGTCAATAAATAGCAAAGTTATCAGCCAGGAACAAAATTTGTGGACAGACAGACAGACAGAGTGATTACTATAGGGCACCCGTATCTCCGATACGGGGCCCTAATGAGTTATATTTGTTCTATTGCTACAGTGTATAATTATTTTTATATTTTGTTTTTAGTTCCAAATTGTTGTTTACTATTTTTTTTTATTTTAGCGACTGATCCACTGTGCAGAAATCAAGACAATGCAGCGATGTTCGTGCTCAGCTGTTTCAATCGACAGCAGTTTGAGGAATTTCCTGATAATGACACCGTGAAATGCTTGTACGTTTTATTTTATTTAACAATTGAGTCAAACACATACATCATGTATTAACAAAACAACACTAGTCTGTGTTTAAAGTTTATATTATCTTCTAGAAATGTTACTCTAGTTTTAATGGATTTGTCAAGTATACAGTTGCATATTGTATAACAATTTCTGTCAATATATCATTTTAATAGGATCAATTAAAATTTAAAAAGCTGTCTTAATATATATTTTAATAGGATCAATTAAAAATTATAAAAAAAATTCATATAAATATTTGAATGAAATGACTGAAACAAAAACATAAACGATAAAGAGACAAAATACTTCACACAGCAAAAAGAAGCCCAAAAGGCGGAAAAAGTCGTTAAAATACAATTTGTATGGTCACACTAACAGTTACATTTAATAAGTGCTCGTCATGCTAAAACCTTCACATACATGTGAAAGGAAATAGACGACAGTGGCAACGACGCCGCCGGATTTAGAAACAGCACAAGCTCTTCTGTTCCGTACGGGCGAACTAAAAAACGGAATTTGAAACTTTCCAAAAACGTTTTGTATGTTACTCTTTAAATAGCAATGTACGATGAATTACTGTTATAACATAGTATAACTTTACTGTTTGCATACCTATATACATGTACCTGGAAAACTGCCACTTAATGATTAATTTGATACAGTTGAATACATTACTCGAAACCTCACATGGTATTGCTGATTAACTTATCTAACCGCAACATAAATTACAGAAAATTGACCCCATACTTTTTAAAATAAGTCTGTCATGTCAGAATGACAGAATGACAAAAATGAATTACACTGTAGTATATAGCTGTTTTGTCCTACTATGCCTCATCGATGATGATATGGGCCAAAGCGTCGGAAATGCAAATTGGTATCAACTACTGTTGTAACAGAAGGGGAAGTGCATACTGTAAAATCATAATTTTTCGTGGGACATTCAAGTTCGTTTATTTTGTGGATAACAAAATTCCACAAAATTAAATCCACACGAAAAAACTTGGTATGATATAGATAGGGGAAACTAAGAAATCAGTGAAATATAATGCCCATGAAACAGACTAGTATATGAAAACCACGAAATTTTAACCCCACGAAAATAAATGATTCTAAAGTAGAACCCCTGAATTTATGAATTTTAAAAATTTAGAGTGAAGTACTGTTTAATTTCAAATAGTTAATAAAGTATGCATATTACATGTATGAATCGTTGCACTACTTAAAAGAGATAACCGTAGCCATCAAGGCTATATAACCCCTCTCCCTGTAGGTACATCTCAAACAATAGCAGAAAATAAACTATGAATATTTATATAAATTGTTTGGAACATAAGAAATAGATATATTTCAACGACGATAGGCGACACCATGTATGTATGTATGTATGTATGTATGTATGTATGTATGTATGTATGTATGTATGTATGTATGTATGTATGTATGTATGTATGTGTGTGTGTGTGTGTGTGTGTGTGTGTGTGTGTGTATGGTGTGCATACATGTACATACATACATACGCACGCACGCACGCACGCACGCATGCACACACATCTCTGAACACAATCATGAATAGCAGAATTAAGATATTGACTAGGTTAACTTCTTTCTTTAATCAATATATTAGCATTAAACATTACATGTTCATAAACGTTTTTGACTATTATCTTTCTCTAATCCCACCACCGAAAGTTTTAGCAAAGCACCTTACATGACCGCAACACATATTACTACACCACAATTATATAACTCCTACCACGTGATTAGACAAGTTATGTTTTATAATAATTCTCATCCACCTGTCTACAGTTACTTGAGACAGGTGGGACATTGCTTGGAACTATTGGTGGAGGAGCGGTACCGCGTGACCTGTAACGAGCTGGACCAACTCTACGTATTCAAGTCTAGTGCTGACCTCATCAAGAAGGCAGTTAACTTTGACGTTATTGTGCAATGTAAGTAACGTTTATACTTCAGAGTTGCATCTTGCCACCTATTTGATTTTTTTTAATTATAAATAGAGGTTGTTTATTGCTGGTAATGTAGCGAGTAAATGTTCTTATACAAATGTTATCTGTTAACGGCTAACACTTAGAATGCGAAAATATATACGCTACCAAAGGAATAAGACTTTGTATATTAACAATTTCTAAAATTCATATCATATTTCAGTTATGATTCATACAAATATTAAATACAGGCAAGATAAAGTATCATCACGTTTGAAAAAGTACTTCGATTCAGCCAATGAGTGGTACAGGAACTCAAGAATTACATAATTTACATAAAGGGTTATGATACACATATAACTAACTTCTCTTTAAGATCCCCTTACCAATGCCGGCATGGCCATATTTTTGATAGATAATTTCTGAAGCGAATACCATACTTTCGATTGCGTTATGGGAAAAGAATATTAAAGATTAAATAAACCATGCTATAATCAACATCAGTGTTCCACGTGTAAAACTACAGCCGGTATAGACCGGAATCCTATCCTTAGACATTAGATTGTTATACTATCACTCTAACCGAAAGGCCTTACACTGTGGACTGGAGCTGTAAGCGAACGTTTCTGCTAAGCGCTGCTAAACGTTCGGATGCATGGGATACATGGTCAGAGAAATAAATTCAAACATACAGGGCATGGTCTAATTTGTTTATATGTTACCAGCAGGCTGAGAAATAAGCACAAGCCTATTAATTAACGTGTCTGATTATTTTTAATTAGCTCTTATTGGCGATTTGCCGAGCTTTTAATCTACAACTGTATAAGAATTTGAAGATAAGCCATTGAAAGCCTACCCACAGCACGATCAACCTCAAAATGATACTAGAACGGATGATAACCTTTTACCCTATGTAAATAGCTTCCTTATTGGTCATTTTTCATTTTTATTGATTTCCTTATCGTGCATAATTAGCGAAACATATATTCGTGTTTTATATTATGATCCCTCTCCCTTCACAGGTCCGGAATGGTGGGATTACTACAATGATGCACTTAATAACACAACGGATACCGTCAATCACAATTTATCATGATATGGACTTGTCTGTGACAGCACGACTAAAACTTGGAAAGATATCCGTCCCGCGAGCTACAGTTAAACTTTCTCAAACGAAGAATCAATTACTTCCAAACCGAAATTTCGATCATCAAAATCATCGAAATGCTTTTATATTGTATTCCTTTCAGAGGCGATAGACACGTATTTTATTAATTTTTACTACTATTTTAGAATTATTAGAAGAATTAACGTTATTGAGTACAATTAATTTAATGTTGTGAGTGTATAAAGTGTGGAATACTAAATGTGTGAGTGTAAAGGATTAAGTGTCGTAAAGTGTGTTATGGTGTTATATAGTGGGTTAGAAAGTAATACATAACATTAATGATAAAAAGTCGGAAGCCTTTTCCATTAATTTTATGTAACTTTCTGGGAAGATAACCTCAAAACATGTGATACACTCACAACAGTTCATTGATTCAACTCTATCATGTCAAGACATTTCATAAATGTTTCACATACGCGTTTTACTAATTATCGAAATTATTTTCACATTTTGCGAATGTTCCATGGCAGGTACTAAAACGTACCTGATGTACGTAAGTGTTATCATCTCCATATATGACCTTTATATTCCAGTGTTTAACGCATTTTGAATCTTAAGTAGTTGTATAGATATCATTCTTCAAAATTTGTCGTTATTTACTGTAAAAGTTTTAGGGTTTTTTCAGTCTCTGATTTTGCGAATTTGCTAAAGTGGTCAGTTTCGGGGCATTTATTGTTCGCGGATTTCAGAATTAGTAGTCACAGCAAAAAGTGCTGCACTATGTATTGATTAGTTTGCTATTTATATTCCGGGACGTATTTTATCTCGATATTAAGAACCTCGCTAAAAAAAACTGTACAATATGTCTAGCTTTAATTTGACACAAGTATATTAACATTGCAATACACATCTGGTATAATAATGGCAATCAACAAACATCTACGGCGTTAACTTACATGATTGGAACATCAGAGAATAATTCCACTCACATGCAATTGTTATGTGACGATCCACGGCGTCTGACTAATCAGAACTGTTGTTACATCACGGAAGAGATGTTTACTAAGTGTTTATATTTTTATTTCATTGTACTATACCCTGCACGTCTGTAGGGACGTTTCCATGATATATGGTTTATGATAAATCTAGTAACGATCATATGTATCAGGACATCACCTTAAACAAGAAAACTACAATTTACCATTTATTTCTTATTGCTGACATAATTGCCACTCAACAAGCAGCCGTCTGCTGTCTTTTAATTCATTACATACTTACTAATAAATACGTTTTTTATGTATATGCGATACGACACAATTGCTCTAACCCATATCAGCGCTATCCGTATCACACCCCAAAACCCGTATCATCCCCCGCCGTATCACACCCAAAAACCCGTATCAGCCCGTAAAACCCGTATCACGCCCTTTTGGATATTTTTTTCGTTTTTCAATATTTCAAAAGAAAAATAGATCATAAGGTAGTAACTTTTATTAGTAAGTATGTAATAAGACAATATATTTATTTATGTTTAAAAAAAGTAAATTGTCTAAAATAACACAACAAAAATACTTCTCGTGCTGATATTGCAGTCTCGGGTTGATACTCGGTGTGATATGGAAAAAGACATGTATTATTCTCTATGTAATGCTACATATTTTTTTGTTTTCTAGTTCACTTTGCTGTGATCTTTGCTTCTTAATTTAATCCTTTCTTGAACATGATTACGTTTCATGACCATTCCTGTTAATTTCTTTACCTTACCAAACTTTTCATTTAATAATCATGGAAGTTTCTTTTCGTGACAACGATACTCGAAAATCAAAACTGTTTATACGATAATCAAAGATGTTTATCCGGCACTCTGATAAAACGACTTGGACACTCCAAATCGTTGACATGAACATAAAGTAATGTTTATTCGAAAAACAATCTTTGTAAATGTTTTTACTCTGTCTTATACTTTTGTCTTTTTCTGTTCTGTTGGCTTTTGTTGAAAGCGTTTAAAGCTCGCTAATTTAGAATCCTAGTAGCTTAGTCAAATAATAAATTACTTACATACGTGTGCTATTTGTTTAAACAGGATCGCAGTTTACGCCTTTTAAAAACTTTAAGTTTATTTAATTTGGAGTAAAAACAAATCCTTTTCAATCTCAATTGTAGATATATACAAATGTAAAATGTAACCATTTCAAAAATAAGGTCTTTTACATAGAGTATTATCGGAATGACAGGGAGCTGTTTTATTAAATCCTTGTCAGTTATAAGATAAGTAAATATATTTGTGTCTATCATAAAGATAATATGTTAAACATGTGTGTATATTGATGAAAGGGAATTAAACCATCACACAAAAATCACATTTTACGGAGTTTTGTTGTCTTTGTTAAAAACAAACACACCAAAACATTCTTACCAACATTTAATTATGATTTAGTTATTTTTATTTCCCAAAATGATATTTTGGAATTGTTATGAAAGAAACATGCGTTTTGAGAGGAACTTAGGAGAGATGTTTACCATTCCCTTAAAAATAGTGTTAAATTAAAGTTGAGACAGGTGTTACGAAGATGAATTACTGCTTATGAAAGCTGTAATCATAAAAAGGTAAGCAATGTGAAGCAAGTAATTTTTAAACAACTCCAGATTCGAAAGAACTAACTTTTTGGTACAAAATGCCCTTTTTCATACATGTAGTATTTTGCCCTAACTTAAATCAAAACAACCAAGTCTTAACATAACACGAGTGTGGTTTACTTGTTCGGAAGTCCCTGAACTTTAATTTAACAGTTTTAATATCTCAGAACCTTCAACGGGAATTTGTTCAATTAATAGTACAAACATTTGTATATTTTTTCAAGAAATGTATGTACATGTAGTAGGCGGGGTCAGGAGACAAGCGTTTGCCACCAAATTGACTTTGCGTTGTGTAGTTTTGAATATTTACAAACTGTTCAAGTTTTGGAACGTAATAACATAGATCTGGAACAAAACCAGTTGCCAACAGTCTGCTCATAAACCCACCTTCCGGTTCCAGTTGTTTTCTCCTGCTTAGTCGAAATGTCTGGAAAGAACCACAACAGCACCAGAGTTCAAGTTCCACAAGTGTAGTATATACAATTGTAGTACATTATGTGGTTTCGTTAAACAAAAATTAAAATTGATATAAATTATTGTTACAGATTTAATATGTATCTACGACTTGTGAAATCTATTACTATTGTATCATTAGTTTCTGTTTTTTATGTAACAAATGTATATAAAAACACCTGGGGGTATAATGTAGGAGTGTGAGGAATTCCACTTCCTTTACAAATATTATTGATTTTGAGCAATATATCACTACGATTATCGGTTGTGTGGATCTTACTGATTGTTTGCGAGTTTGGTAGCGAGTATAGTGTTTGTTCAGAAGTTAAAATTTTTAACCGACTTATTATCACCATTTTAATCGTGGTATGATTGCATCGATCTTGTCCTAGGTGAGTTGATGAATTTCCTCTAACATTTTCATGATCTTATACTCAAAATAATACTCGTTAAAACTAGAAGGAAGTTTCACCTGGGTTTTGACAATTCTGTTGGTTTTTGTTTTTCCACTTTTGATCACAACACAAGATTACATACCTTAATATTTCGATCACTACTTCGGCATTCTTCTGTAGGACCGAGACTCGCCAGGTGTAATTACCTGGGGTCCCTTGACCTTTCGGACCCGTGACCTCAGGAGCGAGTCGTAGACACCTGGTGGCTGGTCCTGACTTAGGTTTGGCTAGTACAGGGGGATCTAGATTGCCTCCCGGACCCCACAATTAAGATACATGTACATCGAATAAGAATCTGATTCAGATCCATTTATCGGCATGGGGTTTGATGTGAAAGTGTTGAGCAACTTCTGAGGAGGAAACTAAACTTGGTCTTCTATGTTGATTAATGTTCTAAGAGATTGTTCTACGGGATCCTGCTTATCTCCCAGATATAGGTCTCTGTGCAGTGGTGGCATTAGATCGTTTTTCCCTGGCACTTGGTTTAATCGACAGGGCCAGGTAGGTGAAGTGTCCTTTTTAGGAGTGATATCCTTAACTCTAAAAAGGTTCTATCCTAATTCATTAATTGACTTGAAATGCACCTACATGTAAGTCTTGCACATCTGAAACGGTTCCCGAGACGCCTTTGCGATATGGGATTACTACAGAACCCTGGGGTTTCCCATTATCTTGGTTGGCGACTAAAGCACTAAAGTTCTTCAAACACATCGATTTCTTATATCATCATATTTACCGAGGAGGAGAATGATACACTTTAGCCTTCCTTGACACCCTCGTCAACCGGAAGCTAGACAGAAACATCAAAGTGACCATTCATAGAAACCCAAAACACACGGACCAATAACTAAACTTCCAGCCCAACCTCCCACTAAAATACTCTGTGTGATACGGTATGGTACAGTGTAGGGTATGGTTTCTTTTCAAAGCAGTTTCCAATGTGCGCTTACAGTTTTTGGCAGTTATGCGGGCATCCTGCACACTTATAAGTGGTGTTAAATTCATTTATTAAAATTACAAAACTCAATGTCCAAAGTATTCCTCAACATATAAGGTTACAAATGTACGACTTTCGATTACAACGGTTAATCATATTTTTAATCAGCACCAATCTATTGTGATGATATTTGACCTGTAATGTAGTAGCTCCTGCTTGAATACAATTTAGAAATAAATAAATTTGACAAATTGACCTATCTGAACTTAAAAGGTCATAAACGTGAAATGTGACAACAATAAACACCATTAACATGAGTGTAACATGAAAGGGGAAATGCAGCCATCAGAACGTGGGACCTCAGAATATACATTGACGCTGTAACAAATCCCCTCATTCAACAAAGTTTTCGACCCTGAACCCACACTAGGCCTAAACCACCGTCCATGGATATATTCAGTTTGGAGTTAAATGAAAGGGGAAAGGTAAATGCAATGGCCAGACTTGGATTCGAATTCAGGACCTCTAAACTCTAGATGTACGGTCAATCCAGCTCCACAACAGGAGCATTACTGGCTCGGTAGGCCTCTTGTAATATGTCAAGGTATACATTAGGCAACATCAGTTGTTACACATACATGTACAACATGACGAGGCATTACACTTCAAAGAGTATAAATTAATGTATAGGGTATGATGTAAAGTATATAATGTAAAGTGAAAACCTTGCTTTTAACTGAAGTTTTACATCAGACGTGGTTTACATTTTGAAATTTATATATATTGTAAATAAATATATATATAAATAAAATAAGAACAGGACAAGTGCGATTTTATACAAAATCATCATTGAAACAAAAGTGTAAATCAAACGTACATTCTGGTAACTCGTCAAAGTTTTGGCGAAAGGAAAAAGATATATTTCTCAAGTAAAAGTACCTACAGCAATATGAAATAACTTGTACATTTGAAATCTGAAGCCAAGGTTTCGAACCACAGTCTTGCCCCGAAGAACAGATTATGTTTTATTCATTTTATCTCCTTTGTGGGGGGTTTTCAAAATATTTCCGCAAGGTGTATTTTTCTTTTCAAAAATGATTTATCAAAGCTATCGTTATGCCTGAAAAAATGAGTTTCGAATGCATAGTTTCAATTTTTGGCAGTGGTACGGGGTCCATCAAAGCACAGAATTCGATAGTAAGCATAAAAAGAAAAGCAATCGTGTCCGGCGCCACATGTGGGACGCGTGGTGATTTCGCTCATTAAATCCAAGAAAATACGTAGATCACAAAATATTATGATATGAAAGTGTTGTTCATATTTGGAAACAATTAAATAAATTAATAAGACAAAATGTCTGGTAGGAACTTCAAAAAATTCAAGTTAAAAACATGAAAAAGGAAGAAAGAAGAAATACTTGATTCTTTACTTCGTACGTGATATATGAAGACTTTAAATACATACGCGGTAAAAAATATAGTTCGTGCTAGCTGATGTATATAAAATGGGATTGATTTATCAAATGTGGGTTATTGTAATGTGTATTAAGTATGAATATAGGATGGTGGTTATATCTGTCTATGACTAACGATCTAGGAGTTTCGTATCTTGACATTTTTTTTTTTAAGATGATATCTAAACAAACTGAAAAGATTTCGACATAATCTTGAAATATGTCGAAATAATTTATAAGTTTAAAATATCATTCTCCAAGATAATTTGGCCGAGATTATTATGACATAAAAAGTTACGATATAAACAACAGATGATTTCCAAAGGGAAAAAAGAGAACAATATAGAACAAATGTCACTCTAAGTCCCAATAGTTCGGCCCCTGACCTTCTTCAACG